ATATTTTTTAAGAGATATCTGCCTTACAAATTTTTGCACATCAATATAGGTTTGAAATTTGTTAAGTTTATTTTCAGGTGCAAACTTCAAACCCCTATCTAGTAGATTCAATTCTTGAGGTGATAATGTAGTATCACTCAAATTGAAAATCCCTTTCCCTTTTACATTTTTCCGTTTTTTTTGGGTTTGTTGACCCTCTTGCCTCCTCTCTTTCCTCTGGTTGGATACTTCTTTTGCGGACCCTGTCCTCCTCTAAAAAAATGGGCTGGTGCATAGTTGTTATCTCTCCATCCAGTGTGATGGTAATTAGGATCATTTGGGGGAGGTTGCATGTAATTAATATTATTATATTGTTGACCGTCGTTTTGAGCGGTCTGTATCCAGGGTTCCTTCCATTATTGTTGGATCTCTGCGGTGTCCTACCATTATTTCTTGGTTGAAAATGCTGGATATTAGGTCTCTGATAATTATTTGTGTAATTTTGATATGGTCTATTCTGAGAATCACGTGCATACTTAGTGGGACCCTTATGATTTCTATTCCCATGTCCTTGTTTGGGGTATCCCCATAGTCTCTATACCCAACATTCTGGTCGGGAAAGGGGTAAAGGGGTGTATATCTATTATCAGTAGGTATATTATACCCATGGTTGTTATAGGGTCTTTTAGGTGTTCTATGATGTCCCTGTTGTGGGAGAGATCTTGATTGGCTCCATATGGCTTTGGAGTTTGTGGAGGAACAGTATGATTTTATACTGTGAAGTATTAGATACTTTTCTCTTTTCTAGTTTGCCATAAAAACTTGACTTTCAGAATAGTCTTTATGATCCCTCGCATATTTTTTGCGTTTTCTTAATTCTTTGTTCTTGATCTAAATTATCCATGAATACTTTTAGTTTGTTAGATTCGGTCTTTATATTCCTCCTTATCTTTATAAGGCAACAGTTTTTTCACGTATTTTATTGATCTCTATATCGAGATGGGTCAGTTTTTTCTTCTTTCTCAAAATCAAAAATTTGAGTAAATCCAACCCAGTTGAGTTAAAAAATTGGTACCATTCCACAGTACCATTTATATCGTCAGTCTCTGGGGGACACTTCCCATCTGAGTGAGCGTGGGACCATGCCCCCTCCTTAATGTATCTTTCAAGGAAGGAGATGTTCAAAGTGTCCTGATTTCTGCTGACGTTAGATTATGTAAATGCATAAACAGACCCCTAAGGTCTTCTGTATCATGATCAATAATAAACACATCATCAGGTATATCCTTTCTCATGGACCGAATCTCAAAAATATCTGCCATAATGTAGGTAAGCAGAAAAAATCAAGCTGCTCAGCAATATAATGGTATATATCCTAATGCAAATGTAAAAAAAGTTGCGAGCGCTAGAAAAACTAAAGCAGCCACAGCATCAAAAAGGATACCAATAAACCTTACAAAAGCATATAATATAAAAGAATGCGGCGCTAATATCACAAGTAATGAAAAGAAAAATGGAAATTATCCAAGGTGTCAATATAGTGATCATAGGTGATTAATGTGATCCTGAACAATAAGCAGAGTAACATGCAGTGCAAAAACAGTCTTTGTGGTAATTTCTCTCCTTCAAAGTGCTGATTCCATGCGGTGAGCGTGAAAAAGGATAAGACTGTGCACTCACCAGATGCACAGCGTAACTGCGCATTTAGAGATGAATTATATCTCTGAAAGATCCACTGGTAGTTCTTTAAGGTCAGGTCAAATCAGATATTCCTCCACCCGCTGGATGTTGATGATAATCCACAGTCTCTCTCAAAGATGGCTCTACAGGGATATGTGACTCACCAAGGGCCACAAAGAAAGGAGACCAATAGCGTGATAACGTTTTAAAAAAGATTTTATTTCTAAGCAGTATAGACATGGGTGGGGATAAATGAACAAAAACAAACACTGACCATCGTTGTTATCATCCACACCTCATGGTCAGTGTTTGTTTTGTTCATTTATCCCACCCATGTATACTGCTTAGAATAAAATCTTTTAAAACGTTATCACGCTATTGGTCTCCTTTCTTTGTGGCCCCTTGGTGAGTCACATATCACCTGTAGAAGTCCATCTTTGAGAGAGACTGTGGATTATCATCAACATCCAGCGGGTGGAGGAATATCTGATTTGACCTGACCTTAAAGAACTACCAGTGGATCTTTCAGAGATAATTCATCTCTAAATGCGCAGTTACGCTCGGTGCATCTGGTGAGTGCACAGTCTTATCCTTTTTCACGCTCACCGCATGGAATCAGCACTTTGAAGGAGAGAAATTACACAAAGACTGTTTTTGCACTGCATGTTACTCTGCTTATTGTTCAGGATCACATTAATCACCTATGATCACTATATTGACACCCTTGGATAATTTCCATTTTCTTTTCATTACTTGTGATATACGCGCCGCATCTTTATTTATATTATAGAGCATCATTCTAGTTGGGGCCTCTATGACACAGGTCTAGCAGAGCATCATTCCTAGCTGGGGCCTCTATGACCAGGTCCAGCAGAGCATCATTCCTAGCTGGGGCCTCTATGAACCAGGTCCAGCAGAGCATGATTCCTAGTTGGGGCCTCTATGACACAGGTCCGGCAGAGCATCATTCCTAGTTGGGGCCTCTATGACACAGGTCCAGCAGAGCATCATTCCTAGTTGGGGCCTCTAAATGACACAGGTCCGGCAGAGCATCATTCCTAGTTGGGGGCCTCTATGAACTGAACCATACAATGTCCTGTAGTAGGTTTATATACATTTTTGCCCTTTAAACTGTTCCTGCAGTCCCAATACTCCAGTCAGTTTCCGGGTAGTTACCATCCCTCATTATTATCATTGTCCCCGCCCTTTCCATCTGTGGGAGGAGCAGGAGTCTCCCCCTCCTCATTAACACTGGAAGGCCTATAACAAAACTCCAATGATGACCTTTGTAGTACCGCCCCCCAAGTGCAGCTCCACCCATAATACTTCAGCCTCATCACACATCACACATTAATACTTCAGCCTCCATCAACTAGGTCCTCTCACACTCGCTGAGATCACTTCCTCACATAGAGACAGACTCCACCCCTTTCCTATTACAGGCAGGACTCCACCCCCTTTCCTATTACAGGCAGACCCCACCCCATTTCCTATTCCAGACAGACTCCACCCCCTTTCCTATTTCCCCCGTCTCTCCGAAAGAGAACCTAGCCAGGAATATGAATGGCCCAGTCATGTGAGGAATGAAGCCAAGATTCAGCAATACCAATTCAATCCTAGTTCTCTTCATTCACCAAACCTTCCAACTCACCTATTGTGCTGGGCTGACTTCTGGCATTGGGGAAAAAACACTTCCCATTCACTGACACCTCCTTCATTCACTGACACCTCCTTCATTCACTGACACCTTGTCCATTCACTGACACCTCCTCCCATTCACTGACACCTCCTTCATTCACTGACACCCTTGTTCATTCACTGACACCTCCTTCATTCACTGACACCTTGTCCAATCACTGATACTTCCTTCATTCACTGATACCTCCTTCATTCATTGACACCTTCATTCACTGATACCTTGTTCACACGGATTTTGTGTATTTTTTATTCTCATACAAATGGTACCAATTTCCACTGTTTGTTTGTAACTTGGGAACCTTCTTACCATCTGCCATTAGGCCCTCCCCCCATCTTTCCCCATTCCGTCCCCAATAAGGACTGACCCCGGTCTGATCTGTCTACCACGATATAATTCCTGATGTACAGGAAGACAGGACTTCAGTGAGGAACATTTCCCTCACTCTGGACAGGAAAGTGGCTTCTCCCCGTGTGAGATCTCTGATGTGTGGAAAGATAGAACTTATAGAAAAACATTTCCCTCACTCAGGACAGGAATACGGCTTCTATCTCCCCCGTGTGTGAGATCTTTTATGCACATTAAGTTGAGATTTATATTGGAAACATTTCCCGCACTCAGGACAGGAATACGGCTTTTCCCCCGTGTGAGATCTCTGATGTGTGGAACGATAGAACTTATAGGAAAAACATTTTTCCCACACTCAGGACAGGAATACGGCTTCTCCCCCGTGTGAGATCTTTTTATGCACATTAAGTTGAGATTTAGTATTGGAAACATTTCCCGCACTCAGGACAAAAATGTGGCTTCTCCCCCGTGTGAGACCTCTGATGCATGTGAAGATAGGAATTCTGTGAAAAACATTTTCACCCGCACTCAGGACAGGAATACGGCTTCTCTCCAGTGTGAGATCTCTGATGTCTGGAAAGATAGAACTTATAGGAAAAACATTTCCCACAGTCAGGACAGGAATATGGCTTGTTCATCCCGTGTGAGACCTGTTGATGTATGAAAGTAGGGTTGATTTTGCTACAAAACATTTCCCGCACTCAGAACAGGAATACGGCTTTCTCCCCCATGTGAGATCTTTTATGCACATTAAGTTGAGATTTAGATTGGAAACAGTTTCCCACACTCAGGACAGGAATGTGGCTTCTCCCCTGTGTGAGACATCTGATGTATGATAAGTGCTGATTTTCCTGCAAAACATTTCCCGCACTCAGGACAGGAATATGGCTTCTCCCCTGTGTGAGACCTCTGATGTTTGATAAGTATTGATTTTTCTACAAAACATTTCCCGCACTCAGAACAGGAATACGGCTTCTCCCCCGTGTGAGATTTATATGCACATTTAGTTTAGATTTAGATTGGAAACATTTCCCGCACTCAGAACAGGAATGCGGCTTCTCCCCCGTGTGAGATCTTTTATGCCACATTAAGTTTAGATTTAGATTGGAAACATTTCCCGCACTCAGAACAGGAAAATTACGGCTTCTCCCCGTGTGAGAGATCTTATATGCACATTAAGTTTAGATTTCGATTGGAAACATTTTTCCCGCACTCAGAACAGGAATACGGCTTCTCCCCCGTGTGAGATCTTTCATGCATATTAAGATCAGATTTATATTGGAAACATTTCCCGCACTCAGGACAGGGAATACGGCTTCTTCCCGTGTGAGATCTTTGATGTTTGTAAAAGAGAGGACTTCGCTGGAAAAACATTTCCCGCACTCAGGACAGGAACATGGCTTCTCCCCCGTGTGAGATCTCTGATGTTTGTGAAGATTGGACTTCGTTGAAAAACATTTCTCGCACTCAGGACAGGAATACGGCTTCTCCCCCGTGTGAGATCTTTGATGTGTGTGAAAGATAGGACTTCTTTGAAAAACATTTTCCACACTCAGGAACAGGAATGTGGCTTCTCCCCCCTGTGAGACCTTCTGATGTATGATAAGTGTTGATTTTTCTACAAAACATTTCCCGCAGTCAGAACAGGAATACGGCTTCTCCCCCGTGTGAGATTCTTATATGCTCAATAAGTTTGGATTTATATTGGAAACATTTTCCGCACTCAAGACAGGAATACGGCTTCTCCCCCGTGTGAGATATTTGATGTGAGTGAAGATGGTGACTTCTGTGAAAAACATTTCCCGCTAACTCAGGACAGAGAATACGGCTTTCTCCCCCGTGTGAGATCTTTGATGCGAGTGAAGATAGGACTTCTTTGAAAAACATTTCCCGCACTCAGGACAGGAATACGGCTTCTTCTCCCCCGTTGTGAGATCTTTGATGTGAGTGATGATAGGACTTCTTTTGAAAAAACATTTCCCGCACTCAGAACAGGAATACGGCTTCTCTTCCCGTGTGAGATCTTATATGCTCAATAAGATTGGATTTATATTGGAAAAATTTTCCGCACTCAAGACAGGAATACGGCTTCTCCCCCGTGTGAGATCTTTGATGTGAGTGAAGAATTGGGACTTCTGTGAAAAACATTTCCCGCACTCAGGACAGAAATACGGCTTCTCCCCCGTGTGAGATCTTTGATGCGAGTGAAGATAGGACTTCTTTGAAAAACATTTCCCGCACTCAGGACAGGAATACGGCTTCTCCCCCGTGTGAGATCTTTGATGTGAGTGATGATAGGAACTTCTTTGAAAAACATTTCCCGCACTCAGAACAGGAATACCGGCTTCTCTCCCGTGTGAGATCTTATATGCTCAATAAGATTGGATTTATATTGGAAACATTTTCCCGCACTCAAGACAGGAATACGGCTTCTCCCCGTGTGAGATCTTTGATGTGAGTGAAGATGGGACTTCTGTGAAAAAACATTTCCCGCACTCAGGACAGAAATACGGCTTCTCCCCCGTGTGAGATCTTTGATGCGAGTGAAACGAGATAGGACTTCTTTGAAAAACATTTCCCTCACTCAGGACAGGAATACGGCTTCTCCCCCGTGTGAGATCTTTGATGTGAGTGATGATAGGACTTCTTTGAAAAACATTTTTCCCGCACTCAGAACAGGAATACGGCTTCTCTCCCGTGTGAGATTCTTATATGCTCAATAAGATTGGATTTATATTGGAAACATTTCTCGCACTCAGAACAGGAATACGGCTTATCTCCCGTGTGAGGATCTGATATGCACATTAAGACGGATTTATATTGGAATCAATTTCCCGCATTCAGGACAGGAATACGGTTCTCTCCCGTGTGAGCTCTCTTCATGCTTATTAAGACGGGATTTATATTGGATGGAAACAATTTCCAGCACTCAGGACAGGAATATGGCTTCTCTCCCATGTGGCTCTTTCATGCCTATTAAGATGGAATTTATATTAGGAAAACATTTCCCGCACTCAGGACAGGAAATACGGCTTTCTCTCCCGTGTGAGATCTGATATGCACATTAAGACGGGATATTTATATTGGAAACATTTCCCGCACTAAGGACAGGAATACGGCTTCTCTCCCGTGTGACATCTTAATATGCACATTAAGACGGGATTTATATTGGAAACATTTCCCGCACTCAGGGCAGGAATACGACTTCTCCCACCGTGTGAGATTTTATTATGCTGATTTAAGATTGGATTTAAATTGGAAACATTTCCCACACTCAGGACAGGAGAACCTCTTCCCTGTTGGAAGGCCGGCCCGGTCCCCGCACATGTCCTGAGGTTCCTCCAGGATACGAGGAATCCTGATGGTCCCATCTACACTGGGGTGGTGCCGGATGGACATTGGAGGGAGCCGGGTTTTTCTCCTGGACTATAACTGTGTGATGTCCCTCATACTTCTACTTTCCAGTCTGGAGACAAAGTGAGACAATCCTTTGGAGGTTTTCCTCATCTCCCGCCATGGACTAAAATACAAAGACAAAGAGGATTACTAGACCAGGAGCTGATTGGCCTCCCCCAAACCAGGACTCCGCTCCACATCAGGAGCTCTGGTCTCTGAGGAGGCTTACAAGTTCCACCCTCAAGGGAACTAGGAAAATGGCTCCTCCGACCTTCCTACTGTAGTGACTTTTTGGGAGAATGGTTATGAAGAAAATGATATTATCCCAAAATTGTGAATCCCTGGGCTGACCTGTCAGGGTGTAACATTCTCGGGGACTATTCATGGGATATTTTCCAGAGATTACCATCACACACACCACACAATGAGTGGAAGAACGTGGTTCCCGACGCAAAGATCACTATGTGACCTTCTACAGGTGATGAAACAAAGTCCTCCAGAAAAGACAACGGTGGGATGTGATTGTGGTCATTCTAAGACCCTTGCAGGTGTTGTATGTCATCTAAACAAGTCCCATTGTCTATGGGAGAGCCAGGAGACTTCATTATACGGTGTCCCACCACTACTGGGAGGTCTGCAGGTGGAACATGATACGAGGTCCTGGAAGTGGGGATAACCAAAACCTGATTTGTCTGAAAGCTCACACAATACCTTGGAAAGTGTGATGAACAAACAGACCCTCCTGGAAATGTCACAATAGCTATTGCAAATCTCATGAGGATTTAAATCCTGAGTCTGTCCGGTCTTTTCCCCCAATTCCTACAACCTTAGGCAGGTCAATAAAGGGTTTATCCCAGTTCATGTGACCCGTTGCGCTGAGAGCCGAGACATTGGAAATATAAAGTTGATACCAACAGAGACTCTGATCAAAAGGCAGCATTACTGACACTTTATCAAGGGAAAATCATCTTTCAGTAATGGTTAGGCTATTGCATCCCACTCAATGAAGTGAATTAGTAGTGGATACATAGACTTCAATAGGACGTATATATTTCATACCTAAAGACATTTTGGTTTCCAATCAAATTATGACTCATCATTAAGACACCAATATTTGTGATACCTGACTGTCCCCAGTGGATAGGTGAGATGGATGGTCCTCTAGGTACGCACAATTCTCCACCGGCCAATCAACAAGTCCTGGTGGGAGGGTCCCTTGAAACAAAGGATTGTTATTGGTATAATGGTATAAAAGTGCCAAACACCCTCAGACTTCAACACTTCAACGGACTTCACAGACTTAGACACTTCAAATCTTCATGAGCTAAACTTACTTCCGAACCTCTGAACTTCTTCTATGACCAATTGTGTTCCTAGGACTTCTATCCAAATCGTCTATGACTAGACTGAACTCACTCCTTCTAGATTCTACTTTACTCATTATAGTACACTCTACCATGCCGTGTTAAACAACTACTATCATGAAGCTCCTCCATAACGTCCCATATATATCTCTACATGTATCCTATTACTAACACACATACTGCACATCCCTCACTTGTTACTGTGGCCATCTTGCTGAAGGATCTTCCAGCTGCCATTGTGTCTTCAGGACCCATTTGATAGGCCCAACTGCACCCCCACTGGGAAACCTCGAAACTCAAGATTCTGGGAGTGCTGAGATGCATAGAGTATCATTTTCTTTGGTTATTTCCAATTTTCTAAGATTATAAAATTTATTGTGTGTTTAGGAATATTAAGGTCATAACATACGTAATGATCACTAATAAATGTTTTGATTTCCGGTCATTGAGAAGTGTATATATTGCAGATTTACTGATTTGTAGTTTTGTTGTAGTGCGAGTTATCACAAGAATACTTTCTATATAGTGTGTTTCCTATTCCTATGGCCACGGAATCCCCACAGAGAAATCATTTGAGGCACTATAATGGTGACAACTTACACCGGAAATTTGTTTTTCTATATTTCCCGTCATCTGTAATCATCTATTGTGTGATAACATAGAAAATTTACCGATCATATGTCCTGGATTGTATGTACAAGTATACATTCTATCACCCAGGATTCTGCGTTTCTATTAATATATAATCATCTATTGTGTGATAACATAGAAATTTACCCGATCATATGTCTGATTTGTATGTACAACGTATTACATATCCTTCACTCAGGATTCTGCGTTTCTATTAAAACTCGCACTACAGTTGCAAGAAAAAGTATGTGAACCCCTTGGGGATTACGTCGGAGGTAGTTTTGCATGAATTGGGCATAAAATGTGCCTCCACTTGGAACGTCATCTAAGTCCACAACAATAGAAGAACACAGTCTGCTGAACATAAATACTACACAACATTAGATCGTTATTGCCATGGTTTAATTGCACATAACATGTAAAACATTCACAGTGCAGGGATGAAAAAGTATGTGAACCTTTGGACTTAATACACCTGGTTGACCCTCCTTTGTAGCATAGACCTCAACCAAACGTTTCCTGTAGTTGCAGATCAGACCTGCACAAACGATCTGGAGAAAAGTAATTTTGGACCACTCCTCTTCACACAAACTGTTTCAGTGTAGCAATATTCTTGGGATGTCTGGTGTGAATCGCTCTCCTTAAGGTCCATGCCACAGCATTTCAATCTGGTTGAGGTCAGGACTCTGACTGGGCCACTTTCCTCAGAAAGGCATATTCTGTGCGTGTTGCAGCCATTGTTTTGTTGAATTACTTGATATGCTTGGGGGGTCATTGTCCTGTTGCATCACCCATCCTCTGCGGCAGCTTTCAGTTGGCGGACAGATAGGTCCTATGACGTTTTCCTGCAATAATGTCTTTGATAAAAACTCTGAATTTATTTTCCCCCATCAATGACAGCAATCCGCCCAGGCCCTGAGGCAGCAAAGCAAGCCCCACAAACCATGATGCTCCCTCCGCCATGTTTTTCAGTTGGGGATGAGGTTTTGATGTTGGTGTGCTGTGCCTTTTTTTCTCCACACGCCTAGTGTTGTGTGTTTTTTCCCAAACAACTCAAATCTTGGTGTTCATTCTGTCCACAGTATATTTTGCCAGTAGTGCTGTGGAACATCCATGGTGCTCTTTTGCAAAACTTCAAACGTGACTGCAATATTCCTTTTGGACAGCAATGGCTTCCTCCGTGGTGTCCTCCCCATGTACTCCATTCTTGTTTAATGTTTTCCTTATTGTAGATTGTGTCAACAAAAATGTTATCATGTGCCAGAGATTTCTGTAGGTCTTTAGCTGGACACTCTGGGAATTCTTCTTTACCTCATGCAAGCATTCTGCACTGTGGTCTTGCAGTTCATTTTTACAGGACGACCACGCCTAGGTAGAGTAGCAACAGTGCTAAACTTTCTCCATTTGTAGGTACAAGTCTTGTCTTACCGTAGGACACATGAACATCAAGGCTTTTGGAGATACTTTTGTAACCCTTTCCAGCTTCATGCAAGTCAACCTCAATTGTTGATCGTAGGTCTTCTGAGAGACTCTTTTCTGCGAGGCATGGTTCACATCAGACAGTGCTTCTTGAAACCAGTAAACCCAAACAGGTTCTGCGTGCGTTTTTTAAGGGCAGGGACAGCTGTCAGCAACACATCCAATATCATCACACTGATTGGAGTCAAGGTTGGGGCTCACTCCTGGCTCCAATTAGCTCTGGGAGAAGTCATTAAGCTTAGGGCCTCACATACTTTTTCCTCCCTGCTCAATGTGAATGTTTACATGTTATGTCGCAATTAAACCATGGCACACATCTAATGTTTGTGAAGTATTATGTTCAGCAGGACTGTGTTCTTCTATTGTTGTTACTTAGATGACCGTTCAGAGCACATTTTATGCCCAATTCATGCAAAAACTCCACGTAAATCCCAAGGGGTTCACATACTTTTTCTTGCAACTGTATATATTCTTTTTGTACAATAAATTTATTTATTTATCAATAAAGGCAATTTTTGTATTCTATGGTACGAAATCATAATGGTGAAAAGGACCCTCAGGTATATTATTAAGATGTCCAAATTATTGGTTCATTAAATATTTGCCGTATTTTTAGCGGATTGGCTTGGAGGCACTACGATATTTTATTAAGGGGAGATGACACGCCCATACGTACTTAGAATAAATATTTTACATAAACCACCACAGGATAACATATTGGAGGCACTGCTGAGATACAAAGAAATCGCACCATAATACAAAACGCACCGGTGATTGTTATTATTGTACACATTGTCAAAAAATATATTCTGTATAAAAAAATGGCATCCAGTAACCGCGGATCTCGCCTATTCAAAGCATAGCGAGGAAAAGGGAGACGTTCAGAATGGTGAGGACGGATAACTCCGAATTGAGAGCTAGAAAATCCCACGAATTGCTTGGCACAAAGGTATACAGAATGTGCGCTAATAGATTATCTACGCTCAAAGATTGGATTTAGGGGACTGCATTGAGGAATTATTTAGCAGAAGAGAAGGGAGACATTGGCAATTGAGGAAAATTAGTAGTAGAAGAGAAGGGACGGCATTGAGGAATTAGTAGTTAGAAGAGAAGGGACGGCATTGAGGAATTAGTAGTAGAAGAGAAGGGACGGCCATTGAGGAATTAGTA